AAAAAAAAGAGTCATGCCACTCTGCTGGCAGCTTTGAAGGTTTTCTGTGCAGACATTGAAAGGGATTCATGTAGGGAAGATATACACTAACTAAATAAGGCCAAATTCTGAGTTTGAATCATGAGGCAAAGGCTACTTCTGCTCTGTTATTGGTTATGCACTCCACATCAAAAGATGTAAGCCCCTTTGCAAAGAGGTCAGAGGTAGGTTGATGGAGGCTCTTAGGCAATTTTTTTGTTTATGCAGTCATTTATACATATGGTTTTGCATTCACTCCCCAGAAAATGCATTCATTCCCATGCACTCCACTTTTAACTTTGGTTAAGGGATTGTCATCTGCCTGGATTCTTTCCATTCTTACAGCTGAGATGATAACACTAAAGAACAGTAAATAAATGACCATTTATCAACTTGATGTCAACAACATTGGAGTCATTAAAACAACAACAACAAAAACCCGATTTCTGGCAACACACTACCAGCCTTTGAGTCTTCCCAGTGAGCAAACCTGGATTGCCATATCTGTCCTTTTTATTGTGATATGTTCTCATATCACAATATGGGAGGAGATTCAAACTCCCCATTATGTTGGCTCATCAGCTATAGGCTGAGTATATTGGAGACACTTGACATTTTTCGATGAAGTGCTCACCAAAGGATATACCCACTGCCATCACACCAATTCCGACTCACAGTGACCCTGTAGACAGGGTTTCTGAGGCTGTAAACTTTCATGAGAACAGAGAGCCTCAACTGTTTTCAATCCCTAACTTTGTGATTAGCAGTCCAGCGCTTACCCTACAGCACCACCAAGCTCCCTCATATAAGGCTACCAGACTTTAGCTAAGGATAAGACTATAACATCCAACTAAGGACACTTTCTTTTAGGTCAGTACTAAGCCATATACCAAAAATAAACACACAAGCATTGTGAGAGAATTCTAGAGCAGGGGTTAGCATGTTAAGGCCCATGGGCCCAGTATGATCTGCTTCTTGTTTTTGTAAATAATGGTTTCTTGGCAAATAGCCATGCTTCATATAGGTATGTCTGTGGGTCAGTCCATGCTATTTTGAGATAGCTGAGTAGTTGCAACAGAGACCTTATGGCCCATAGAGACCCTCATCTTTCTCCCTTGGAGTGGCTGTTTTCAAACTGCTGACCTTTGCCTTAGTAGCCCATCGCATGACCACTGGGTTACCAGGGCTTCCTAGAGAAAAAATTGGCTGGCCACTGCTCTAGCAGACGAAGTACAAGTACTAATCAGTTCTTAGTTATAGCCTAGTCCACAATGTCTCTTTATAGTTGAAAGAGACGAATCAATACTGATGTTACAGTCATAAATTTCAAGTGTCTCCAAATAAAATATCAACTGATATCTGATTTATTTTAAACTGAAGAGATTTGGTGGAGGGGGGATGAAAAGCTATTTCATAACACTAATGAGAGCTTTGCCTTGGCGCCTTTCCCACTGATAGAGTAGGGAGGATTTAAAAATCTTTTGCACATTGGAGTAAATCTGCTTATTCTAGGAAGTAAAGCTTGTTTCCCTCTTGGAAGGTGGCAGGAAACCAGTAACAAACATAATGTGTTTACAGAAGTTGCTTAAATGACACATGAAGCGAAGAGAGTGGTATATAATGAAAGGATATAAAAAGAAATAACTGACGAAGAAACGAGGTCAAAGGAAAGGCCAGAAACAACTTCACATTAGCCAGCACACGAAAACGTCTTCAAAGTCAGATGCGGGACCATCATGACTGGCGTTTGTCTTCATCAAAAGCAATAGCCACATAGTACCTTTCCTGAGTCCAATATCCCTGTAGTTGCTGTGACATATCAAGTGTTTCCTCAGCTATGTCTCTCATCCTCCTACTTCAAAAATTCAAACCAAACTCACTGCCACCGAGTTGATCCTGACTCAGAGGGTTCCCATAACTGCAAATGTTTACCAGAGCAGGCAGCTCATCTTTGTCCCATAGAGTGGCTGGTGGGTTTGAACCATCAACCTTTCATTTAGCAGCCCAATGCCTAATGTGTCTGTGTGTTCAGTGCATATTCATTGAGAGCTGCCTGGTGCCTAGAAGTAATCTTTTCACTAGTCTCTCATTTCTTCCTCCTACTCTATGTCTTTGCCAGGAGTGTGGCAACATCCTTTCTTTCACCTGGTCTCCTGTTGCTGCCCATTATATGCCAGACATTACAGTTAAACAGAACGTCTTGCTTTTTCCCTCTGATACATGCCTCTTTGCTGCTTCTGTGTCTGTGTTTCCACGTTTCACTCTACTTGGGGTGTTCTTCTTTCCATATTTATGTGTTCTAGACATTCATACTTCAAGACTACCTCATACAGCATGACATGCTTCAAGGCAAGATTTAAATAGGTTCTGTGGCAGATGCAAACTTCTTATGTAAGCTTCTTCATATCCGATATGGAGCATAGTTATTCGAGGACCCCGACATTGGAGTCTTTATCTTGACATGGGCTTCCATCGTAGGAAGTAGGAATGGGAAAGAGAGATGACAACATGGCTCTTATATAGCATCTTAAGTTGCTCGTAAGTCTTTCAGTTCTGCTTGCAGTTCATTGGCCAGAGCCGTTCATATAGCCACCTTTACTATCAAAGGCTTAGGAGTTAGAAAAGCAGGAAAACACACCTGGCAGTTTGCAAGCTGGAGGAAACTGAAGAAAACATGCAAGGCTTGAGTTGAAATAGTGAAAGTTCCTCTGGGCACAATATCGAATGATGCATGAAGCATCGAAAGAAAATGGAAGGAATACACAGTTACTGTGTTAAAAAAAAAGATTGGTTGACATTCAACCATTTCAAGGGGGCAGTATTAGATCAGGAACTTATGGTATTAAAGGAAGAACTCTAAGCTGCACTGAAGGCACTAGGGAAAAGCACAGGTCCAGGAATTGATGGAATACCACTGGCAATGGCTCATTAAACTGATGCAGCACTGGAAGCACTCACCTGTCTACACCAAGAGATTTGGAAGACAGCTACCTAGCCAACTAACTGGAAGAGAATCATGTTCGTGTCCATTCCAAGTAAAAGTGATTGAACACACTGTTGAAATTATCAAACAATACCATTGATATCACACATTTGTCAAATTTTGTTGACAGTAATTTAAAAACCGGTTGCAATGGTATATTTACAGGAGAAATTCAAGCTGGATTCAGAAGAGAACGTGGAAATGAGGGATAGGATTGCTGATGTCAGACGGATTGGGGCTGAAAGCTAAGATAGTAGAAAGATGTGTATCTACGTTGTATTGAAGATGCAAAGGCATTTGTGGATCATAACAAATTGTGGAAAATATTTCCAAGCATGGAGATTCCAGATGCAGAGTTTGTGCAAGGACCAAGTAGTCAGTTCAAAGCCAAAAAAGGACTACTCTGCGCTTTAGTCAGGGAAAGTGCATGTCAAAGTTATCGTTCACAATCCTAATTTAATCTCAGCACCTATTTCAAGAAGCTAGACTATATGAAGCAGAGCCTAGCATCAGGATTGGAAGATGATTCTAACCGTCTCTCGGAATATGCAGATGACACAATTTTGCTTGCTGAAAGTGAAGATTTGAAGCACTTAGAAGATCAAAGACGACAGCCTTTTGCATAGATGGCACCTCAACATAAAACAAAAATCATCACAAGTGGACCAGTCGGTCCATTAGCAGAATTGTGATAAATGGAAAAAAGATCGACGTTGTCAAGGATTTTATTTTACTTGGAATCACAATCAGTTCCCATGGGAGTAGCAGTCAAGAAATAAAACTATGCATTGAATCAGGAACATCTGTTGCAAAAGATATCTTTAAAGTATTAAAAAGCAAAGGTGTCACCTTGAGGATTAAAGTGTGGCCCAAGCCATGATCGTTTCAATTGCCTCAGATGCATGCAAAAGCTGGACAATAAATAAGGAATCCCTAGGAAGAATTGATGTTTTCCAATGAAGGGAGGGACAAAGAATATTGAATACCGCATGGTCTGCAAAAGAATGAACAAATCTGGCCTGGAAGAAGTTCAGCTGAGATATTTCTTAGAAGTGACAATGAAAACACTTGTGGACATGTTACCAGGAGGGACCAACCCCTGGGGAAGTACAGCCTGGGTCAACCCCAAAGAAAGAGGTCTTCAACGAGATGCATGGACACTGGCTGCAAAAATGGGCTTAACCAAAGCATAGAAATAGTTGTGAGGGTGGTGTGAGACTGGGTAATGTTTCATTCTATTGAACATAGGGTCACTATGAGTTAGAACCATCTCAACAGCACCTGCAAGCCATCACCTTCAAAGGAGATGGGAGAGTGCCTTCCTATCTAAGCTTCAGACTAGAGTGAGGCAAGTGAATACCTAGAGTACAAATTACCTTTTCACTACCATATTCAATAACTGATGAGTGCTTCCATTTATGGATTTGAATGACTGGTTAAATTTGAAAGGGGGTATTAAAAGCACTAGAGGATTGTAATGAATGCATTGGTATGTTTCTGGGTACAAATGCTAGTCTCTGTTAAGTTAAAACACTTGTCCAGAAGCCAGCCTCAGTTATTCCACTTGTGGAATTATCCACATTGACAAAATCTTCGACCCTGGAGGTTGGAATAATAGACATTACTACTGATGAAGGTTTTATCTGATCTAAAACTCATCCATTGGTTCTCCAATTACACTTGAATATAGTTAGGAGCAGTTAATACAGTGGGAAATGAAAAACTGGAATAGAAATGCCCTTAAAGGATGCTTCCCTCTTTCAGGTGAGGTGTAACTCCTACAGACCAGAAGCTGCCCGAGAACAAGTCCAGATTGGTGCTCACAGCCCTCCTCAGTTCAGGTAAAATGGATGATACCAGTTCGCTCTACTTCTTCACGCAGACATCCCAGTGCTCTGTTAAATAGTCTGGACCAAAGCCTGTATCATCAGCAGTGTGATTTCCATTTTACTGGCAAAAATTAATTTGGCCGCACAGAAACTAAGCATCTTTTCTTTATCAGGAGTAAGCAGGTTTAGTTCACATTATCTCAACTACATTTCTGCTGGTGGTCACTTGTACATGCTGCTTTTGTCAAGACTCCAGAGATAATGTGGAGTCCAAACCCTAGCCTTTGTAGGAAATCCCACTTACTATCTTCCAGTGTTTGCAAGGCAGTCCTTCATGGGTACCATATATGATGCATCTCCGTAGGCCAGAATATTTGATTTCCACATCAACCTGCTTTTCTTTTTGTCGGGACTACAGCACAGTCTTTGAAAAATGGATGAGATCTCAGGGACTCTGTCTGAAATAAATTAGAGCTCTAATTTATTTTGTGGCATTGAATATTCCATTTTATACCCCTTGTTCTGCCATGCAATTGACTGAGAGACATGAATGAACACCCACTTTCTAAAAGGCTCTGAATACAAGGCAGGATACAAGTTTGGCAATTATAATTCATGTGTAGAGTCGAAAGCTCCTCCACTTTGTAAGCTTTTAGTTTTAATCCCATTTAGAAACAGAGAATTGTGAACGAGTCTTACGTGTTAGAATGTATAAAATATTGACTAAAATGAAAATGAAGGTTAATATTACTTACCCTATGCTAAGTTCTATAGTTTGAGAAATGTGTCTCTATAGGGGACAGAGAATTAATTACCCTATGAAATTCAAGAAGCTACGATAATTTACATTTATTTTATTATTTGCATAGAACATATTATATCTGAATATCTTTATATTTGATGCTTAAATGAACCTATTAACATATTGCAGTCAAGTCTCCTAAAATTTCTTCTATATGTTAAAATATTATTCCTAAAATCTTACCGTAGAAATGCTCCAGAAATTGACTATACATTTCCCACTAGCATAAAAATCTAATAACTGTGTTGGAAAGTCTCCCCCACTGGGTTGAACTGTCTGAAGGCTGACAGTCTCTAATGGACTAAAACGTGCTCCTACTGACAAACGGTGCAGATGAAAGCACGCAGTAGATTAATTACTCAACAGATACGTTTTTAGAAACTAATTTCCTTTTACCAACTAGTTGCCTGTGATGTTGGATTTTAGCCCACAATTTGCAAAGTATGCTTACTAATTATAGGCCACATTCTATATTTAACACTGCCCAGGGTGAATCACACGGAAATATGCATCCCTCCCCCTAGATCCAGCTAAAACACGAGGTTCTGAGGTTTTTTTTTTAGATACCGTCATTCAAATGCCCGCAGGTAACAAATTCATTTACGAACGAGTCAGTGACTGAGAATGTGGAGTCTCTAGTCAACCCTTAGACCGTGCAGAAATAGATGAGGGGCAGCTCTTTCCACACCAACTGCACTTCTGACGTGTGATGGATGCCTGCACTAACAACGGATTCTGAGTGCCGTGGAAATCACACAATGGACATATAACATCCAAAGCCAGTAGCAAATCAAAGGGCTAGGCAGGAAATGGCACCTTTTAGTCAGGGAACTGGCAAGAATATCAGCTTTTGGAGGGAATGCCTCTGAAAGAATTTTTCATTGATACCAGCTGGCTACCATGCACTACTTGATTGTTGTACACACCAAATTCTAGGTAAGAATTCACCTCCACGCTCAATAGAAATTTTGAGGAAGTGTTTTTGTCGATAGGATGAATTTTTGAAGAAGAATTGGAAATGTAACCACCTAGATGAAACTTACAAACATGATATTGAATGAAAAAAGTCAGAGATTAAAGAGTACATATGTTGTGAGTTTTAAGATAGGAAGCCCCCAAACAGGTGAGACTAATCTGTGGCAATAGAAACAGCGTTGGCGTGGTGGTTACTTTGATGGGTGCTGTGGGTACAAGATCTGAGGGAACCTTCTAGTTATGTCTGGATCTAGGTGTTGTGTCTTGAGCTACGCACAAAGACACGAACAAGCTTTACACTTAACTTCTGTGGCCTTTACCAGGGGGCTTCCAAACGTTCATACAAAATAAAAAGGTAGTGGAATTTTTACATGAACTTTTGGAAACCCCCTCTTTATGTAAGTTATACCTTAACATAAACCCCCTTAAATTTTGTTTTAGAAACATGAGAAATGCTAAGTAGTGGTGATGACACACTCGAATTTGATGCTAGGAGGCAGCCTATGCTGAACATTTGCCTGGTATTCAGGTCGGTCTGGTCTCGGCTTGGTTTGTGTCTTTGGAAATTTCCTTAACCATCCTGGGCTTCAGTTGTCTCCCCTGTATCCACCATATCTCCAGGCCGACATGTCTGCGAATAACACACTGCTGTACTTCTCTCTCAAACGTACTGGGTAAGAATGAAATGACATGGACTGTGACTTATCCTTTGCAGAGTCAATGGTGCAATTAGCAACTTTGAAGAGTTTCAGAAGGCTTTTAACTGTCCACTTAACGCCACGATGAACCGAGGCCTGGACTCCTGCCGCCTGTGGTAGCTGCTGGACCGCTGCATTCTGCCACCCGGAGCAAGCTAAACAGTGCCGTTAGATGTTGCACCGAGCACTCCCCCACTCCCCCCCTCCCCCTGCTGCTTGGGCTTATAGTCCCCAAGAACTTTCCTTTGTAATGTGCTTTCATTCTTTGGAGAAGGGGACCTGTTTGGATCTAAACAATATCTGTCCCAAATGCTAGGTTTTCAAAAACAGAATGTGCAAAATGAACCAAGCCTGCTCCTTTAGAAAACCAAAGCACCAAAAACAATAAATCCCTAGGCTACTCGTGTGGACACACTGTCCGCCGAATGGTGGCCCCTGGCTATTTGAATGGATTAGGCTCCGCGGAGGGTTGGGGATGCCATTTCGAGGCCCTAGAAAGCACCCCTAAAGAACTCCCGTCGGTGAAACTGGTCCCCCTCGAGGATGAAGACATGAGGGTGCCCAGGAGGTCCACTGCTCTGTGGAAGGTGGGGCTAGATTTTATGGTACAGGATTAGACAGCATCTTTAGCCTAATTTAGATACATTAGAAGTCTTTTGGATCTTGACTTTTCCTCTGTTCGCTGGGAAGTGCTTGCCCTCACTTTGAGTCCGACTGAAATGGGAACGTGCCGCCTAGCTGGAGTCTGGTGTAGCCGATTGCCTGTTCAAGTCTGTGGGCATGCAGCTGGCAGAAAGGCTACCCGGAAAAGGATTTGAGCTTATCAAATAGAAAAGAAAAAGAATAGAGCTGCAAGCCCCGGAAGGAGTCCCTAGTTGCGCAGCGGCAGGGAAAGTAGACGAGGCCACCTCCACCATTGGATCTCAGCTCGCTGACCCTTGGAGGAAAGTTTGAGCTCAGACACTTCCCTATAGGCTCAGCCCTGGCTGGCTGGCTGGCCACCCTCCTCTGTCCGTTCTTGTGTGTCTGAAATGAAGCAGGCATTGAGAAAATGCTCTTCCCATGCCCCGTGGGGAACGTCTGGTGGCCATGGGGCTTGCACGCAAAGGGACACACACCACCCAGAGGAGGAAGCAGAAGAGCCCCCTGCTGCTCCGGCTTGTTCGACGCCGCCGCTGTTATAAAACCCCTTGGAAAAAGTTCTCGACCGGAGACATTTCAGGCGTTAACATCTCCAGTTCCCTGAGCAGCCCAGAGAAGCTCTGTGTCCTCTCCCAGTCTTCCGAGGCTCTGGGAGGAAGAGCACACTCAGGGGTAGATCTTCGGAGGCTTTCCCTTCTAAGTGGACGCCGCCATCCCTCAGTGTGTGGGGAGGCCAAAATCTTCGTGGCCTGAAAGCAGTTGAAGGAGCCCCTGGTAGCACGGTGGGTAAAGCATTGAAAGGTTGGCTGTTTGAACCTCTGGTGAGTCTGGTTCCTCCCATCCAGATCGATAGCCTCTCAAACCGTCGTCGTTCTTAGGTGCCCTCAGGGAACCCTATGGAGCACGTGTCTTCAGTCCTCTATGGTCACGGTGAGGCAGAAGCAACTCTCCAGAGCAGCAGGTTGGGTTTCATCAGTTACTGGGCATCTCCCATTCCTTAAACTAGCCACTTATCCATTGTCTCGTTCTGCATCGCACGAGAGGCGCTAGGGAAGTAAGCCAGGAGGGAAAGCTCAAAAGCAAACAGACTAACCACAGGCGCCCTTTTGCTTTCATCTTTAAAAAGCTATATAGATGTACGGTTACACAGGCTGTGCAGGTCTCTTTTTGTAGCCCAGGGGACTTCAAAAGGGAGGGACGTGGAGGAGCACCAGCACGGGGACATTTACACGGTTAGCCAGACAGTGACTTTCCTCTGGAGTTCTTCCTCTCCAACTGGATCCACTTCTGAACAAGGACGCCCTCTCCCTTCTCTTCATCGTGGCTTCCTGTGCCCCGAGTCTGTGTTTCTAAACACAAGTGATCTTACACTACGGGTGCTGGAAATCACGGTGCCTTTTCTCCGGAGGAATCCCTCACATTTGATTTAGGCATACCACATACTCCCTGTTTTATTCTTTTATGTAGGCCTTTCAGTTCGGTTGAGGTTTGTCACACCTATAAGAAAAAGAATTTCCTTCCGGATTTTTTTTTTTAAACTCCAAAGAAACACGTTCCTGCAGGTCAGAGAAAGTGTTTGATGAAGGCATAGAGGAGTTAGGACATCATTAAGTCAGGTGCTGATTTGGGGAAAACCGGTTGGTGATCATTCCAGACCCTCACAGTTTCCAAATGGTCCTGAGTAACTTGTTGCAACTCGGTTACCGTATGTACACGAGTATAAGCTGACTCGAATATCAGCCAAGGCACCTAATTTTACCACAAAACTGCATAAAAAATGTGCTGAAAAGCTTGGCTCATACACGAGTGTATACAGCATACTGGTTGCTCTAATTAGGAGGGCTATTATTCCAAACAAAAATCCCATAGTAATAGTATCAAATCATTGCTACAAGCTAAAATTTTGTAGTAGGATTGGACTTCCAACAGGCTCATGCCTCCATCTTCAAATTCTTGTGCCTCCATATCAGCACAGAGTACTAAAGGAAACACACTAAGTGGTTGCGAAAGGTAAAATGCAACTGGAGAGGAAGGGAAATAAAGCAGGGAGAAGCTGGCCTAAGAATGTGGCTCTAAAGAAAAGACAAGATGTTGGCAACCTTGCCAGAAACATCCACTGGAGTAGAGCCATAAAGTTTGACAAAAATAATTATGGTAAATTAAAAGGAAATTAGATATCGGATCTCAGACTAGGGATGTCATCATACACTTCTCTGATTCATGTACCAGATGTTCTGCCGGCGAACTGTCTGGGTATTGGAAAGAGGGTTTTTTTGGGTGCAGCTCTTCTGGATTTCGTCAAGAATGACATGTACCGAAAGTGGTATTATTGCCTGGGTTTATCACCATTGCCCACAGCTTGTGGAGCTTTGCACGAAGCTCTCAGAATTGGCCTTAGGTTTCCATTTTTCCCCCTTTTATAAGATGGGACCTTGGACATGACTAATGGAAGCTCAGGATTCATAGATTCTTCTGCAAGTTTATTTAGTGCGTTTCCTCAATGGAGCTTAAAGCAGAGTACATAAATTTTATCTTACTTAGCCCTGGAACATTGCTAAGAAGGAACTTGGAACTATGGCTTGCCAGATAGGATATGCTGCGCTAGAGGAGTAGAGAATATGAACTAGCTTGTCAAGTAGCCAGTGTCAGGAAAGGCAGAGCCTCTGCACTGTGGGCTACCGGCTTTGGATTAAGCTGCATCCCCTTTGGCTAGCTTATTATTAAATACGCTACTATGTCATAGGTTTTTTCCCCCTTGTTTCCCAGGTAAATTTTATCATAAAGCCTCAGTTATGTATTACATGGTGGAAGACTGTGATTATTTCATGCAACATTCTCATTGTCGGTGGCAATGCCCCACTGACTGGAAGAAAGGTGTTCTTGCGTTATGCGTTTTACATCTAAATGTTCACTGTGAGACTCACCTGGTTGTATTTTCTTCCCCTACTTGTGAAACAATGTGAATAAATATTTTAAGAACAAGAAAAAGTGGAAGGTTTTCTCTTTCCTTTTTAAAATTAAAATGTACCTATTATGAAGTTCGGTTTTGACCATGATCCACAAAAAAGCTATTGTATTAAAATCTATTAACTATTCAGTTCTGTTTCTAGTAGTAGTCACCAAAACTATATATACAAAGCACTATAGTAGACTAGCTTTTGTTGGGAAATGGGATTGTACAGTTATTTACAATATAGACAATGAGAGATTTGCAAGTTGTGGGTAGGAAGCAGTCAATGGTTTTCTTCCAGAATTTTAAGTTAACTGTGGTCGATTGCCTTTACAACAATATTGGGGGATAGGCCTCTAAGGAAATTATCAATCATAATATAGTGCTCTTGGAAAGTTGACAAACATTAATCTTATAAAACCAAAGTATTTCCATGTGCTATTACCACTTTTTAACACTAGTCAATTTTCAGTCATTCAACACATTCAACCCATTGTGTTTCAAGCATTCTGCAGCTGTATTTAGGTGGACAGTTGTGTTAGTCTCCAGGGTTCTGGCTGCCATCACCGTGGCTCCATGGGGCCTGTCAACAGGAAGGTGAAGCAGAGAGTGTGTGTCCCACCTCCAGGAAGGAAGACCGGAGGAGTTCCCATAATCCTCAGGAGCAAGCCATACCCACACAGAGGCCTCATTGGCTATGACCTGATTGACATGCTAGAATCCACCCCTTCGCTCAAGTTGATGAGATTATGTAACTGCCACAGACCATCCCTTGTTAACTTGACACTTTTACAGAGCTCTTTAGCTATATATAATTTTTAAACAAAGCAATAATATCTATCTAACAAGATAAAACTAAAATGCATACAATTCAATATGTGCCAGCCTATTGCCTAACATATTGTAAGTGAGAACCTACAGCTTAATCCTATAATCCTATGAATGTATTTCCCCACCTGAGACTTTGTAAGCCAGCTACTTCATGCCTTTATCTGCCCAATTTTGAGTATCCCATTTCTATACTGCTCACTTAAATCAAGCCAGTGCTGTGAGGAGACAGTCATATTCTTTGATGTGAAGAATCTTCATTCCGGGGGAAGTGGGGAGGGAGGGGGTAAATGAGGACCTAATGCCGGGGGCTTAAGTGGAGAGGAAATGTTTTGAGCATGATGAGGGCAATGAATGTACAAATGCGCTTTACACAATTGATGTGTGTATGGATTGTGATAAGAGTTGTATGAGCCCCTAATAAAACGATTAAAAAAAAAGAAAATAATGATGACAACCTATGTAATTAAAAAAAAAATCTTCATTTCAGTTGGAACCTTGTGAGTCTGCCTCCATAAGCAAAATCAAATCAGGACAGGCCATCCAGAAAGTCAGCAGCACTATGCACCAATTCACAAGCTCCAAAATCTTTTCTTCTTCTGGTCGGGTTCTGGTCAACTCAATGTGGGCCACCTCGCTTAGCCTCCCCAACGTGCCCCTTGGTCGCCTCACTTTTCGACCATGGGTAGTGTCACAAATGCTCAACAAACCCAGCCCCCTTGGGCTAGGTCATGAACTTCAGACTAGTTAACCTGCTCTCATCTTCCT